AGAGTCCAGGGGGATGCTATCGTAATCAAAAGGCTTTCATTTTCTTTTTTGGGGGAACACATTTCACATACTACACATGTAATTAAAAACTAATACAAAATTATAGTCAAGATGGCAGCATAGGTAAACATAGCTTGCCTCCTCACACAACCTCATCAAAATTAAAATCTAGAACAACCATCACTTAGAACTGTCAGAAATCGAGGTGAACAAAAGTCTGAAATTAAAGAAACCACATCCACCCAGACTGGTAGGAGAGGCAGAGAGGTGGGGACAGGCTGATACCACACCCACGTGTGGTGGATGATAATTTGGGAGGAATGTTTTGAAGTGAGGGGTCCCAGGCCCACACCAGGCTCCCCAGCCCAGTGTTCCAATGACAGGAAGATAAGTCCCCATAACTTCTGGCTGCAAAAAGCAGTAGGGAATTAATCAGTGGAAGAAACTTAAACTTCTGGAGTCCCAAGCAGTTCCCCTTAAAGAAGGGGATTTACACAGATTTACTCAGGTTCACTTTCTGTGAGCTCCAGCATCAGGATAGCAGCTTGAAAGGTACCGGTAGCATATGGGGAAGAATTGAAGTATCTGGCATCAAGGTGAGAGCTAGGGGACAGTTTTTTGTCAGACAGAAAGAGGGGAAGAGGCCACTGTCCCTTTCTGAGTTCTCCCCTGCACAGAGCCACAGGACTACAGAGCTGGCAGGCAGCAGCTATATCTGAGGCTCCATCAACCTGGCTCACACTGTTTGTCCTGACCTGAAGATCCCCTGAGACTCTGTCCTGCCCAACTTACAGGCTCACCCAAGCTGTTAACAGTGACTTTTGCACATGAATGGTTGGTCTTGGCTCATGCTTCACAACTTCCTAAATCCTATCAAACAAGCAACAGCTAACCTCAGTGAGCCTCCAGCTCCCATACCTCTTGCTAAGTGGCTCCAGTTTTGGAACTAGCAGCAGCCAGCCAAGATTCATGGTTTAGCATCACCTGGAAATCTCCAGGCCTAGCACAAGTAGCACATATCTCAGACTGCTTTATAGCTCATGCAGAGTGGCCCCAGGCAGAACACAGATAGGGGCTGACCTAAGCCTGCACCACTCAGGAAATCCCAGACCCAAGGTACCCAGTGGACAATTACAGACCAGGTAAGAGAACCACCACCCCACCCCTGCACAGCTGATCCTCCATGGAGGGCGGAGGTTGGTGGTCAGTGGTCACAGCCAGTCCTTACAGCTGACTGGTCTGGGTAAATCCTTCTCATTGATCAGCCAACAGCAACCAAGGCTCAACTACAAGAGGCAGGTGTACTCAGCCCACACAAAGAACACATTGCAAGTACCCAGCTTGGATGATAGGGGAGGCCATGCCACTAGACCCTATGGGGCACCTACTACATTAGGCAACAATACCAAGACATAGAATCAAAGCAGCTCTACCTAATACACACAGAGAGGCTGCCAAAATAAGGACACAAAGAAACATGACCCAAATTAAAGAACAGAGTAAAACTGCAGAAAAAGAGCTAAATGCAATCTATCAGGCAATCTATCAGACAGAGTTCAAAACACTGGTTATAAGGATGCTTGGGGAACTTTGTGAGGACCTCAACAGCATACAACAGATCTAGTCAGAAATGAAAGATACACTAATTGAAATAAAGAATAATTTACAGGCAAACAAACAACAGTAGACTGAATGAAGCTGAGAATCAAATCAATGAACTGGAACATAAGGAAGACAAAAACAACCAATCAGAACAACAAGAAGAAAAAAAATCCACGCCCCCAAAAAACAAAAATGAAGATAGTGTAGGCAGCTTGTGGGAAACTTCAAGCCTTCCAACATTTGCATCAGAGTAGTGCCAGAAGGAGAAGAGAAAAGGCAAGAGATTGGAAACCTATTTGGAAAACATACTGAAAGAAAATTTCCCTAATTTGGTGAAGGAAATAGACATGCAAGTCCAGGAAGCACAGAAAGTCCCAAACAACATGAAGGCAAAGAGGGCCACTCCAAAACATATCATAATTAAAATGCCAAAGGTTAAAGATAAGGAGAGAATCTCAAAAGCAGCAAGAGAAAAGCAGTTAGTTACATAGAGGGACACCCCCATAAGACTGTCAGCTGATTTCTCAAAGGAAACTTTGCAGGCTAGAAGGGACTGGCAAGAAATATTCAAAGTCATGAAAAGCAGGGACCTACAGACAGGATTGCTCTATCCAGCAAAGCTGTCATTTAGAACTGAAGGGCAGATAAAGAGCTTCCCAGACAACAAAAAACTAAAGGAGTTCATCATCACCAAACCTTTCTTATATAAAATGTTAAAGGGACTTATTTAAGAAAAAGAAGGTCAAAACTACGAATAATAAAATGGTAATAAATACACATCTATCAACAACTGAAGCTAAAAAACAAACTAACAAACAAGAAGAACAGAGACAGAATCATGGATATGGAGAACATTTTGATGGTTAACAATGGGATGGGGGTGTGGGGGAATGAGTGAAGACGTGAGGGGATTACAAAGTACAAATAGGTAGTTACAGAATAGCCAGAAGGTGTAAAGTACAGTATAGAAAATGGAGCAGTCCAAGAACTTTTACGCATGACCCATGGATGTGAACAATGGTGTGGGGATTGACTGAGGAAGGTAGGGGGTGCTGGATGGAGGGGGGCAAAGGGGGAAAATTGGGAAAACTGTATAGCATAATCAATAAAAATAATTGAAAAAAACTAATACAAATAGAAGAGGATCAAGGAGGGCATAAATGATGATTAAAGATTTGACTTAGGGTGGTGGGTGTGTAACCAAAATACAGCCAAACTCATAAGGCAGGTGCTGGTGGAAAAATAAAGCAAAACAAAAAACCCCAATGTTTATTTAGGGCCAAGACTTGGGAGAATGTTGAATTCCTATCCTGAAGACCATCCCCCTTTCCCGTTCAAGCCCAAGGTTCTTAAGGGATAGGGAAGGGAGGGATTTTTTTCTATCCAATTATGTTGGTAGCTTTTAGTGCACTTGGGTCCTGTCTGTTCATCTTTCTAGCTTTTGGCACACTGGGCTCTGTCCATTTATTTTCTAGCTTTCAGTACGCTCCATGTAAGAACCTCCCCCTGCTGCCATCTTGGCCAATGGGGTTGACTCCCCATTGCTCCTTGACTCTGTTGTATCAGAGTCAGTGGGATGGGGATTGGGGGGATGCTGCAGGACCCACTAACAGGAAGCCTGGAGATGCTGAAGCCTTCAGCCCACCTTCTGATGCTGGACATCCAGGGGAGCTGGTTGGAATCCGTGGGACTCTCCTGGATCCTGGCACACCCGCACATCCTCTGCACAGCCCCCATGGGGTCCACCCCTTCAAAGTAGCCAGCTCAACCTGCATTCACCCTGCTGCCGGCTGCCCACACTCTGTCTATGGTATTAATCACATGATACGATAAAATATACAGACGACATATTATAGAACTGTACACCTGAAACCTATGTAATTTTTTAACTAATGTCAGCTCAATAAATTCAATAAAAAGTAAAAAAATAAAACCTAATAGATCTAGAAATAATCTACTGGGTAGTTGAGGGAGACTTCTTTCTGGCCTCCACCTGTCCACTCAGCTGGGACTCCCACATCAGAACATAGTGTCTGCCAGGGATCAGGTAGGCGCTTGGGAGCTGAGGAAATCCCCAGGTTATCTTGATCTTCCCCAGGAAGGCACAGGCCTGGATCTAAGTTGATCTAGGAGCTAGCTGTGCCCTGCAGCAGCATAGGCAGACTTTTTGGACAGAGCTTAGGATGAGCTCAGCAACACATGACCTTCCCTGTCCAGCGTGCTGTTCCAGATCACAACTTGCACAGTGGCACAGTGACAGGGCTGATCCTTATATGCAGCAGGCCACAGGCAGATGGGAGTCTCAGGAAAGAGCAGCCCCGGCAGATGTCAAGTGTCCAAGAGTTGGTTCTTAGGTGAGTAAGGACTAACCACCCCCGGCCCCCTGACTGTTCCCACAGGAATGCGACACTCCCTATTCCCACCCTCTGGGATAGGCCTCTCTGAATCCCCCAGAAAGCACTTCCACTACCACCAAGGATGGCTCAAAAGTGCTGACAAGAATCCCCCAACATAGGAGATGAGGAAGCAGGGAAGCATAGTGACTGGGTGTCAGTAACCACTAGGCAGGTTGACAACGTCCTCAACCCTGGAGAGGTCAGAACCAGGCTGGTGTCTGGTGACCCCAAATCCTGGAGGCCCCATGGAGAGAAATGATGTGAAAACCAAGGTTTAATAACCAGAGCTGGCCAACATCTCCTCCAAGGGAGTGTCCAGTCCCTTCCCCTTTTGCTACTTTTGGCAACAGTAAGAATAGCCTGCCTCTAAATATCAGTCACCCTTCTTAGATTTTCTCTCAGGAATGCCTCTATATCACCTTTCTAGAACCCATGGCAGGTAGTGGCCATTCAACAGACCCAGTTCACACACCTCCCAAAGGGCCTTCCAGCTGGCTGAGACTTCCACTAACATAGGTTTACCTGTGTCCTGCTTCCCCCAATACGTGCCTCCAAGTACAGACCACATTACGTCCTTCCTCAAAGATCTTCCCGCTCCATATCACCCAGAGAAAAATATCCAAACGCTGGAGCCCGACGTACACAGCCAGGCATGGTATTTACACACTGCATCAGCCTTTACATAGTAAAGTCTCCTGAGCACCTACTGTGTACTAGTCACTATTCTAGGTGCTGACAGGGCCCCAAAGTCATGTTGCTAAAGTACAGAGAAGCCCCTGATTATGCTCCTGCTCAGCCTGTTAGTGTCTGCTCTCTCCACAACACTGCTCACCAGGCTCCAATACCCCCTACCAATACCACTGGTTATGCCAGGTGCTGCTGTAGGGGCACCCTCACAGGTGCTCACAAAGGCACTGGGGCATGAAAGCGAGGCCTTGGTCGAGGTCCCCTGGGTGTCACTGCCATGCCCTACACTCTCTTGCAGGGCTGGTGGGCACTCACTTGTTGAAAAGGTTGAGGCCAATGCGATAATGCCTCTTGCGGATGATGTCATTGCTGAAGGCAGGTGAGTCCCAGCTGTTGCGGGTCTCCTTGTGATAGGTCTGTTTGCTGAGTGTCTGCTCCCGCAGGCTGTCACGGGATGATGACTCAGAGCTGCAGTTGATGGTGTCATTGGAGTTGGAAGTGCTATTGATGCTGTCGTTGTCCCCATCTGAGTAGTCTGACTCAGATTTGCTCTGCCTGTTGGCCGAGCCATTGATGGCCAAGTGGCCATCAAGGGGCCTGGAAGGCTGAGGCCGCAACTCTGGCTCCTCCCGGGACAGGCCCTTAGGGGGGCCACTTTGGGGGCCATGCTTGGGGCTGCCCTGCTGTCCACCAAGACTACGCTCATAGGTGCTCTGCCTCTTGAGCGAGCCACGGTCTGAGCGGTCGCTGAGGTCCACAGAGCTATCACTGGGAGGCTCGATGGTGAGCAGCGGGAGGTGCTCCACCCGCAGCCGCTGCTCCTGCTGCTCAAGAGATGGTGTGCTCTGGCAGCTAGTGTCTGTGTCCCCCTTGTCGTCCTTGTGAGCCAGGGCCCAGTAGTCCTGAGTGGCACCTCCAGCCCTTATTTGCAGGTCTAATTCAGCATTGGATGGCCGGTGCCCTGCCTGAGAGAGGGGCAGGGGTGGTGACAGTTCCTCCTCATCGATGTACAGGGTGACATCACTATATGAGGCTGTCATCTCATCCAGTTTGTGGCGGTCCATGGTTTGCAGGGCTGTCTGGGGGTCCGTGTCCTGGGCTCGCCCTGAGTTGGTGACTGACGCCTCTTCAGCATGAAGGCTGCGGCAGTTGAGGGCATCATCGATGGACTCGGCCAGAGATTTTACCTGCCGGGAGAAGGCATCCTCCAGCTCAGTGATGGCATCTGCGAAGTCACTAGATGGGGCTGAAGACTTGAGGGAAGGCGGCTCAACAAACTCACTGCACTCAGATGGCACTAGGGTCCCCAACTGAGAGCCATCACCGGTCACTGAGACCTGCTTCCCTTCAAAGTAAGAGCTGTGCATCTTCTCAGGCCCCTCAAAGGAGAACTGCATTCTCATGTTGGACAGCACAATCCGGCGGGACATGCGGTTCTCTGACATGGAGCTACGCAGGCGCTCAAAGTTCTTGTTCATCTGGTACTGGCGGAAGGCTGTCTGGATGGTGCGGGCTGCATGGCGGGTCACGAGGCGTCCCCCATACTTCCGTTCTAGCATCTCCACCTGGAAGGGAAAGGAAGGGAGAATGAAGATATTCCCGAGTGCTGGAGCAGCACAATACCTACCAGCAGTCATTCTTGCTCCCCAGCCCAATAGCAGCACCATCTGGGATGGCTTCAGCACATTCCAAAACTGCTTAAAACAACCACTGGGGAATGCTTATATGCAAAATCTGGGTTCCAGGTAACATGAGATGGAGAAACACCATGTTAAATGAAAGCAAGTGTGTTCCCTACAGGACTTCTCAGAACCTTTAAAAAGTGATGATGTCCCAAACTTTGGCCATAGAAGCCGTGGTCCTCATGCATCTTAGAGTATGCAGTTTAACACAACTTTGGAGATATTGGAAAAAGTGAAGGCAGCACCCCCACCCCAAGAGATGAGGAACTGAGCATGTACAGGTTAAGAGACCTGCCAAAGATCTCAGCAAGATCCTGGGTGCTGAGCATCAGCTGCAGACTTCCAGCTTTGTTTCGTCTCTATGGCACCAACTGCATTCTTGCTGGCCAAGGGAGTCACTAAATTTTAGGGAGGTCTGAGAGAATCACCAAACTGAGGAGCAGGCTTCAAGGCCAGATGCCTTGGTTTTAACTCCAGCCCTGCTCAGAGACTGTGCTGGTCTGGTCACTCAGCACATGCCAAGCTCAGAGACAACTGGGGCTGCAAGACCCTCCAGTGTATTCCTGGAAGGTGTTGACAGACTATGGGGTTCCTAAGTCCCCTCACTGTACAAATGAGAAAACTGAGGCCCAGAGAAGAGACCTAACACCCAGAGTCAGGAGCCAACTCTCACTCTCTAACACAGGTCCTGATAGCCCTTCTCCTTGTGTTTGGAGATGGGGCAAGGCTGCAGGCAGGCAAGAAGGAGTGGAACTCCCCAATGTGACACATGGGTTTCCTGAAGTCCTGAGGCCCACGCCAGCCCTCTCGTGAGCAAGGACAGCCCTGAAGGCGGCTCCTCATACCTCGATCCTGAGTGAAAAACAAATAGATGCCTGGAGCTGGGGCCTGCTTGGTGGGAATCCAAGAGAAGAAATTGTCTTCTCTCAGGTGGCCAGGCAAAATGGACACCTGATATGGGGCCAAGGGAGCTCCCAGATCCTTGGGAGCAAGTCACACTGCTTGGGGAGGCAAAGCACTCAACCCTGCTCATGTATGTCCCACCTGCCTACTCCATGCTGGGCATCACGCCAAAGTTGGCAGCACAGAGAAACCAGGTCCCTGCTCTCTGAAGAGTCTGCCAAGGAGAACAGATAGACAGGCACAGATGTCACTGAAATAAAGTCAAATAGATACTGAAGTCAGGGGAGAGGGTTGCTCAGAACTGCTGTGGTGACTGGGAAGGAAGGGCTCACAGCTTCATACATCCAAGTATGGGTACTGGTCCCTCACTTGCCAGTTGGTGGCCTGTTCACCTCTCTGGACAGTGAGAGCATGCCCAGCTCTATGAGCAACCCATCTCAGGCATGCCAGCCCCCTGCAAGTGCAACGCGCCAGCTCTCTGGGGTCCACAAGAGAGGGAGCAGCAGGCTGGGAAGAGCAGCTCTCTTAGCAGAATGAAGAAGGGGAATGGGTGGTGGAGGGGGTAGTGGCATGCATGTGGCTCCAACTGCTTTTTCAAAGCCTGGCCAGACCCAGAGTGAGCCAGGGTAAGTCTATTTTTTCTTTTATTCTGAAGGTGACTTCACTTCCACATCTGTAAGCAGAATTGTTTTTTTTATTTTTTGGTTTTGAACAGAGCTCTGAAAGCCCACAGGGCCAATAAAGGGCTCAAGGCTGAACTCCAGGAAGCCCTCTCTTCTCTGCCATCCCAGGCCTGAAGTCCTAAACCCCTTATGTTAGCTTGATGGGGGTTGGGGGCAGGGTAGAGGTCATAATGCCAGGGTCACCAGCTCAGGCCCAGAGCTCACTCCAGTGCCTATTTTTTCTTGCTGACTCTGGACCTCACAAACCAAGCAGCAACCCTCTTTGTCTGAGACCAGCTTCCCAAACCTGAAGGTACAGGGGAGGGAGAAAAAAGGGACTTCAGGAAGGCAGAAATGGGCTCTGTGTTTTGTCATCAAAGCCCCCCTCAGTCCCTCCTACCTGGCTTCCCCCAGAGAACACACACTGAGCCAGGCCTGCTCTTACCCATCGCCAAGGCTCATGGTGGCCATTCTTCCCTAGGCCAGAACCCACCCAAGGCCTGCTCTGAAATTTTACTGGGGCACAGGGGAGGAGATCCAATCAGTGTATGTTCACCTGATACTCACAATGATGCACAGTCTTCAGATGCTTACAAAGACGCACACTTCTCAGAGGAGGCTCAAAGAATTAGTGTGACAAGGAGCCAATCCCAGCCAGGTCTTTCCCATCAAACCCTCACTCTGCCTTTAAAGGGGCACTTCTTCACAATGGGGAAGAAAAACTAGGAAGAAACACCCTTCCTTAAAGCAGAACTACCACATTTCAAAGACCTTTTCCTCTGGCTCTCACTGATAGGAAACTACCAGGAGGTGCAGTGGCCCCAGAGCCAGATGGAAAAGCCATGGCTTTCCATTGGGCTTCTTCCACTTAAATGGGACTTTGTATTACACAGACTTGAACCTCTCTTGGAATCAGGTACCCTACATTCATCTGGCAATTTTTGTGTAGCCTGTCCTAGTCCAACTTTTGTCTTAATTGCCAGGAAGAGCTCAGTGCAGAGTCAAATGCTCACTGGTCCTCAATGACACTTCCTCATTCTCACTTTTTACTACCTCTTCCCTGCCACGTTCTCTCCCAAGTTTGTTTTGCTTTTACCTCTTGCTGGAAAGCCCCTTCCACAAAAACCCAGTTCTAATGCCTCCTTAGAGAGGTCTTCTCCACTACCCTTATCCAATGCTGTCACCTCCCACAACCACTCAATTTATTTCCCCTACTTCTTAATCTCTAACGTTTATATCACTTTTGGAATTAAACTGTGTTTTTACTGCTAACTTATCCATGGTCTATCTCCTGGACCACAGTGTCAGGTCAAGAGCTAGGACATGACCTTGTTCCACAGTAGACTCCCCAACATCCAGTACACTGGCACAGATGGACTTGCCCCCTGCTATGGACCTATTCATGGGGCCAAATACCACAGGGGCAGGAGATTATTTGCTTCCACAGACTGAGAAGGGGCCATCTGCTATTAGACTCTGGCCACTTGCTATCTCCCCGCTCAATACCAACTCACAGGTAGAAGAATTAACAGAGATCAGGGCTGACTGAGGTGGGCAGGGATGTCCAAAGTCAGAGGGCAATACCAAGAGCAGGAGAACAAGTCCTTGTGGGGAAAGGCCCACCTTGGGCAGTTACCACACTGCTCCCCAGAGAAGTCAGGGCCATACTAGGCCCAGACCTCTGCTCCAAAAAAGACACATAGGAAGACTGAAAGTGGACAGAGGACAGCCAGCCCATGGGGTACATATGGGCAGGAGGGAAGGGCAAGATGGTTTCTACAGCCTGGAGTCTGAAGGACTACGGTCCTGGGGCCAGGCAAGTGCAGAGGTGGCTGCTAAGGACCCATATGAGATAGCCCAAAGCTGAGTGTCCAGGAGCTAGGGAGACTGAGTCAGAGAGACAACTTAGTCCTGTATGCTTGCACAACTGCTTCCCAGGAAGAGCCTGGGATTTCTCCTGAAGCCTGGAACTTTTCCTCAGAGTTTCATACTTAAATTCTTGTTAAAGTGCCTACCTTGTGTCTGTACTCTGAGGTCCTGAAAGTAAGAACTCTTTGCCCCTCAATGACCTCCTGCTCTCTGCTCCCCCCACCCACCACCACCCAGCTGTGACAGGCCTTTCCCCTTTTCCCTCCTTCCTGGAACTCAGCCAGGTGGTGCATCAGCCTCACACAGTACAGAGGTGCTGACCTCACAGTGTGGGTGTGGTCCAAAGCCCATCAAGGCAGAACTGCAGCCTTCAGTGAGGTGACTTCCCATAAGACTGTTAACTTGCAAACTGGAAAGGATATACTAAACAACTTCTCCTCACTGGCTGTGGTTGGACTTGGTGTTCTTTTTAGAGCAAGAGCTATTTCTGTTGTAAATTGACCCTCCCTTTTCTCCAGGGTCTCCCTGATCAGACTTCCCAAGGGTCAGACTTCTCCTGGGGACTTAGAAATTCAGTAGCTCGACACACAATCTGTGTGTCCTTGTGGTGTCAGGCCTTGATATCTGGACCCTCATTATAGCCTGGGCCCCAGGCATTAGGGCTGGGAACAGGGTAGAGGCAAAGGCCTGACAGAAGAAATGTCCACAGTCCAGTCCCTTCACTCTGAATCCCTCCATGCCTCAGGAGGGGCAAGTTAGCTCACGCTAAGGCAAAGGCCGCATTCTTAAGGAGCATGAACCTTACTCATACTTCCTTGTGTTGGAGAATGCAGAACACCAGCATTAAAGTTGACAGACTCCTGCTACTCCAGCAAAGGGCCACATGATTACTGGGAAGACACATAGCAGGCAGAGCAGCTCTGCTGCCTGTCCCCAGTGGCTAAGAGACTGGATCCACCTACCTGCTTGTCCTGCAGGTCTGAGGAGAGCTCATAGCTTTCAGAGAGAGAGCGTGAGCGCTTGATGGCCTCCTCCTCAGCCTGCTTGCGTAGGATGGAAGTCGAGTGCTGCAGCTTGGGCCTCCGTGTGCGCTGCTGCTGCCCCAGCGGCCCAGAGTATAGCCCATAGGTGCCCCCAGATGTGTGCTCGTAGTCCGGGCTCAGGCTGGAGCCAGGCACTAAGGGACCCTGGCGATAGGCTGAAGGGCTGTCCAAAGATGTGCAGGTCTCGCTGCTGGGGGCTTCACCCTCCACGCTGCAGAAGAGAGAAGAGAGAGGCCTCCTATGAATGGAAATTCAGAACCCAGGGCCTTTCAGGACACCAGGAGATAGGAGGGGAGGTGACAGTCAAGAGGTGGCCTACTGAGTTGAAGTAGGGGTCCATAACGCCCAGTGTTCCTACTTCCTCCTCACCCTCCACAGTTGATCAACCGCATGCAGCTAGAGGGCCTCTGCCAAGACTCTCTGCTCCACATCTTCCTGAGGCTCACTTGCCTCAGGTTTCATTTTCTCTGTAAAATTCGCCAGCTTCTAACCTCTGACACGTTACTAATTGATTTTGATTATCCATCTCCTACTCAAAAGTGTCAACTTGTTAGGACAGAAGTTTAGCCCATTGATCCACTGAGGATTCCAATGCCAAGAGCCAGGCCTGTACAAAGTAGGTGCTCAGTAAATATTTACTCAGTGACTGAATGGATCCTTTCTCACAATGACCACCTACATTAAGTAAACCACTGATTTCTGTACTTTAAAAAAAATCAGTAATTAACAAAAGTGACTCTTTACTGCACACCTACTCAGGGTTCATGCACTGTGCTGGTGTTTGTTAGGAGCTGAACTGTGCCTCCTTCAAATCTATATGTTGAACTGTAACCCCCAGAGTACTTCAGAATATGTCTGTGTTTGAAGGTAGGGTCTTTAAGAGATAATTAAGTTAAAATGAGGTCATTAGGCTCCTAATCCAATATGACTAGAATCCTTATAAGATCAGGACACAGATACACACAGAGGGATGACCATGTGAGGACATGGCAAGAAAGCAGCCATCTACATACTAAGGAGAGAGGTCTCAAAGTAATCAACCCTGCCTACACCTTGATCTCAGACTTTCAACCTCAGGAACTCAAAGTGAGGAACAAATGTCTGTTGTTAAAGACACCTAGCCTGTGGCACTTGTTCCCATACAGGGACTTGCCCGAGGTTGCACAGATTGAATTAAAGCCCAAGTTGATGAGACTTTCAAGATTGGGTGCTCCTTTCCACCTCACTGCCCCTCATTCCCATGATGTGTACACATCCTCCCAATGTTCCAAGCACCAAGTAGGAGTGCTACAGTAGAATAAGCAGCCAGAGGGGAAATAAAGGCAGGGCCCTCACCATTGCAATCTAACAAAAAACTTAATACAGGAGGATAAAAGCAAAGGCACCTGTTGATCCAGCAGTCCTGAGCCTAGTCCTAAATAAGGCTGCCAGGCATTCCAAATAATAAGGTAGTGTGGGAGGGGGGAAGCCCTTGAAAGTCTGTGTGCATCATTTCCACTAGCTGGGAAAAGGAAAACCTTGAGATTGTATTCATCCAAAGGCCTAGAAGGGGGAAGGAGGAAGGGATCCACAGAGAAGCCATAAAACAACTTTGGTCAACTGCCTGCCTCCCGTCACATATGCAAAATGAATAGATAGATAGTCTGGATCGAGATAAGGATTTGGGCTAACAGTCCCCCATACATACCTATGTTTGGGTAGTCACTTCTCCCTGGAGGGAAGCTGGAACCACCTTTACCCACCAATCAATATGTCAATATGTAGCTCCCTCACCCACATCCCTCAGAACAATGAACTCTCTCTGCTTGTTTTGCCACATGGGCTGGGGGTGGAAGGCCTGGCCACTCGGCCTCTTGGGGGTAGAGGAGGTAGAGGGAGGGGTCTGGCCTCCCTTTTTGACCACCCTGCTCCAGCCCCCTTTGCCCATGCTTTCCTACTAGAACTTAGCATTAATAAACGTTGCTTGTATGCTAGTAGGTTTGCTGATCTTTAATTCTTTACTGTCAGCAAGGAGAACCAAGTTTCTGGGAGTTTCTCTGTGACAGGAGCAGGGCTGACAAACTTACTCATCCCAAACTCATGAATTTAGCTAACATTGGTTCCCACTACAGATTGCTTTATAGCATAGGACAAGAGAGAAGGTGGAAATTTATACAAGACATTTCTAACACAACTTCTGGTACCCCCTCTAGCCATGCCTTTTCATTTGCATGTCCCTGTAGTATATCACTCAGCCTTTAAAAGCCCCTGGGGCCAGGGCAGGGTTCTCTCTAGAAGTGGTGCAGTACTTCCAGAGAATGAACACAGGCCCTACCTACGCTGCAGTCCTTCCTCAGTGGCCTCATCTTCAGATTAATGGGAAAGCCTTACATTCAAGAGCCTCAGGGCCAAATGGTTTACCCCCTAACCACCTCTGCTTCCATTGCCTCCACTTGTCACAGGGACTGGCAGGGCCTCATTGCCAAGTGTACAATGTCAGAGTGTTCACTGACTCCTAGGTGAGACTCGAAGTAGGGGCTTAGGGAAGGAGGCCCTGGAGCAGAGAGGACCAAGACAAATGGAGCAGACCCACCCAGCAGGAAGGGAAGCAACCTGCCTGCTTGCAATTCTGCCTTAAGACACAGGGATGGGTGCAAATCCAACTCATAGTTTAAGAATAGGATAAGAGTTCAGCTCTACCAACTGGCTCTGACCTCCAGGAACATGCAGTGTCTCTCCCGTGACAAAAGGACATCCCAATCTGCTCCCCAGAGGCTAAAGTGTGACAAAGGTCATTCTTCCCTTGGGGTAGAAATTAAGAGACTAGGTGCTTTGCCTTGATCTGACTGTGGATCAGGGTAGGTCAGCTCTCATTTCAAGGCCTGCTTCCCTATCTGCAATACATGTGGGCTGGCCTAGATGCCTTCAAGGTGTCAGAGGAATACCACCCTACAGGAGTCTCCAGACATCAGTCACCCAACAGCAGCTTCCTTTGGGCCTGATGTGTATGTGTTAGGTAGGGGAAGGGATGGAGACAGGCAGAACTTAAAATTCTAGCACTGCCTTGTGGACAAAAAAGGGACTCTAATAAATCTAAACAAAAGCAAACTCACAGGGTGATCTGATCATAAATTCCTAACCGGTTGGTCATGGTGAATACTCACCAACCAATAAAAGCTTTACCTTTGCCTTAAGCAAGCCCTGTCCGTTGTTTTTGTGCATCCAGGTTAACACACCTTTGAAATGCCTTTATTTCAGAGCCCTCAGAAGTAATCATTCTCAAGGGAGCATAATTTTAACTATCCTGTACCTTTTTTTTCTCACCTTCATATAACCTTCCTTATGTTCCCTCCTTAATTCCAAATGTATAAAAGAAACTGCAAAACTGTTATTCTCCAGAGCATCTGAAATCTTGCTTCCCAGCATGTTATTAGTTTAGCTCAAATAAACATTTACAAAAAATCTCTACAGATTTGGACATTTCTTACATTAACATTTACTTGGAATACTCTGCAGCATTCTGAAAAAGCCCCCACTCTCCCCCCATCCCTCTGCAGACCTGTACCCAAGTGCTAGATACCAGCAGAGGCTCATTATGCCCCATTGGCTCCCTGCTTCACATTGGGTAAACTTGAATAAGTTGTCTCTTAAAATCCCAGACTTCCCTGCTTTAGGTAGCAGGTGCTGACTTTAGCTGTTCTTAGAAAATTCTTGAAGTGGAAAAGGGTTGGGATAACCCAGGGAAAGGAAGGGAAAATGGTTTGCTGCTTTTACTTTTTTAAAAATTGGATTGCTTACTGAGAGTCTGAACATAATCTTTGCTGATTAAATGAAAGATAGAACTCTCCTTAGCTTTGAAAGAGAAAGAACACTTGCTTCCCCAACCTAAATCTCAGGTATTCTTAGGTGTCTAAGAATCTTTGTGGAATTGCCTGAGGAAACATTTCCTCTAGGGTATGATGTAGTTCATCTGAAGATGTGCACTTAGAGGCTGGTTTTCTCTAGAAGTTTATTCAGACTTGACAGATATCAAAGGACAACTAAAATTAACATGGAAAATTCTGTCTCTGAGGCCAACAAGCATCACAACCATCAGCCTCCCATGAATACTCCTGCAGGATCCTTCATTACTTTTAATCATTTCCACACACAATTAGAAAAAAAACTGGTTATAAAATTAGGCAGAATAAGTGAAAAATGTTTAATTGGTCTTTCAAAGCTTCAAAAAGAAGATTTAGTAAATGGACCAACCTATGATGTAGTTTAAGTGGTGACCCAATTCTTTTGAGGCATTAAAAATAGATGCCCATATTTTTAAAAATAATTTTATTTCAATGAAACATGATGAGGGTTTAACAAAAGAGGAAAGCTTTGACTTTTCCAGAACCCTTAACATCAATCAATATAGTGGCTATCAACTAACTGTACCAGTAGCCACTGTATTCTTCAACACCACACACTACTAGGCTGCGTTCCATCTTAAAATTTTCCAAAAAAAAAATTAGCCTCTTTTGCATCCAATAGGCATTTTTCTCTACAATATTACTCAGGTGTTTAAAAATGAGTTGTGTGCAATGCAAAAGGTTTCAGACTAGGACACCTGAGACAGCTGCAAGGCTACCCCAAGCAGGTGAAGGGGCTCAAGATGGGGACCTTGTGACCCAAGGGAAGGGCACCAAGGAAGGAACAGTCCATAAGGGTGTGGTAGGCTGGTTTCCATCATCAAGGGCTGGGTCGCATGCCCCAGCAGCATTAACTGCCCCCACAGACCTCGCTCTTCTAGCTGGAATGCACCAGACAAATTCAGACCCTGAAGGCTCTTTCAGCGGCAATCCTAAGCCCCAGCCCCACACTAGATGTCCTTATTTTAAAAGAAAAACTTGACTTGTCAAGGACAGATACAAATTTTAAGTTCTTATCTCAAATGCCAAAACCAGATTTGGATCCAAATGTCCTTTTATAAACTACTGCATTTTGTTGTTGTTTAGAAACTTGAGTCCATAATTTTAATCAAAGAGTTTAACATACCTAGTTAAATTTACGTGTAAAGTAGACCCAATTAAGGATATGGAGTATTTTTTTTTATTGTTGTCCAAGTACAGTTGTCTCCATTTTTCACCCACTAGTCCCCCATACCCCAGCCATCCCCACCTCTCACCCTTGATCCTAGCCCCCTCTTTGGTTTTGTCCATGTGTCCTTTACACATATGCCTCGACAACTCTTCCCCCTTT